CGGCAGACCAACTGACCAACAGTAAAGAAAGCTACAAAATGAAACACATTAGCCATAAATAATGCCTGTCTCTGGGTAGTAATATTGTGAGTGATTCTTGTTTTCATTTTTACTTTTGCTGGACATTCTACAGTAAGTATATAGTCTCTTAATAAAACGATAAAATAGTATTGCCGTGTAAAATAGTCAAGACTAAGAAAGAAATGAGACTGGAACTTTTCATATCAACTTTAATATTTGTGAAACATCTTTCATGCCATAGAAGCAAAGAACACTATCATTTATAAAAGGATATCTAAGTTGACCACATGAAAGCTTTAAAGTTCTATAGATGATAAAGCTCATAAAATTTAATAAGAAACTTCCAATATATATGAGAAAAGTGAATATCTTTTATGTTTTATAAAAGCTCTCACAAGTTGTGCTGGAAGTCCCTGTCTATAATTCTCCTGTCTTCTCATTGACCCCACCTGCTTTTCCTTTCTATTTTTCCCATGATCTTGGAGACTGAAAAGGCTTGCATTAGTGATCTATTTCTGCTCTGCAGCTTCCTGTGACCTTGGCCAAGATGAGCACCAAGAGTTGAATGGAGGGAGAATGACAGTGTTCATTCCTGCAGCCCACCTGCCCTCTGTAGAAAGTGATGCTCCTAACAGGAATCTGGCACTTCTCACTATTTGCCCTGCAAAACCCCTGGAACAAGCCACCCTCCTTTTCTGCCTAGACAACTATAACAGCCTTCCTAACTTTTGTGTCCAGTCCTGCCCTCCTATTAGTTTGTCCTTCCCATGACAACAAGCTCTCAGTACTCAAGATAATCATTTTATTCCCTTTGAAATGAGAATGAAAATGTTTATTTCTCCAGGTCCTGCTGGCCACTTCTTCCTCTGCTCAGGCTCTGGGTTGGAAAGGAACCACTCCGGCTCAGCACACCATATTACTAGCCTAGGGAAACAGTCTCTTGTATTTCTTCAGTCTACACATTTATAATAGCTTCTTTGGTTAACTTTTCTAAAAGAACTAGTATGTTGCATCATCTTTTTGTCTACAGGGACTATGACTAAAACATAAATGAAAAAAAGACAACCACAGAAGTAGGGGCAAAATTCAAGAGCAAAAAATTCCAATAGGTTACCCACACAAAAATTTAGCATCACTAGTAAATATGCTTATCTGCCTGTACATGCATACACATAAATGAATTCAATCATGGTTGTAGTGTAATTTTCTTCCTAGCATACTGGGGAAAAAAAACAGTATTACCAAATGCCAAAAAAGGCAGGAGTGCATATAAACTCTCACTGATAATTAGAACCAAAATCCCTGAGAAATGTGTTATATATGCAAAAAATATTGAAAATACTTTTATGCAATGACCCAACAAGTCCACTTCTAGGAGTATTATTCTAAAGAACTAATCTAAACTTTTCATAGACATTTACACGGAACCTTCAGCAAAGCATTTTTTCCATAAGATAAAAGTTTTGAATAGGTCTTAGGTTTCCCAGACCTTGTATGTTTTATAAAATTGTGTTTCAACCACCAGTTATAAATCATACTAAAAAAACTTCTCTTAAGAATAAGCAGTGCAGTGTATTATTTGTTGAAACTGTACTTCCGATTTGATTTGAAACTGTCTCATTGCTGTTTATCAATAAAACTTTGAAAAAAAAAAAAGAAAGAAAACCTAGAGAAAAAAACTTAAGCATAAAAAGATATTTTGTGTTTTATAGCTCAGAATGGGTTCTCAGATGACTCATCGTGATCCTTTCAGGTTTCAGGGTGTCTGAAAGTGTAACTTTAAGTTATTTCTTTTAATATTTTGTTCCTCTATGTTTTTCACCTGAAAAGCTTTAGCAGAATTTAATCTATTTAGTCTATCCAGATAGCTTCTAGAATCTGTAACTGTAGAACAACTATGGTTTTGTTGTGCTTGTCTTTAAAAATCTATTTTACTTATTTCAGAATAAAATAAAAACAAAATTTAACATATTAAAAAAAAGAATAAGCAGTGACCTTCTCTCGTGTTTCTTACCAAAACTATCAATAAGCTCTGCCTACAAAAATGCATTCCAAACCCAATCATTTCCTACCACTACATCGTGAGTGGACTGGACCTCATCAGCCTCTGTCTCCCAGGTACACAGCTGTAGCAGCCTCCCTAACCATTCGAGATCCACTCTAGCTCTCATGTACACTCTCTCACAGTTGGCTGTGGTTAAACAAAATCAAGTTTAGCCTACAGCTGCTTCTGCACATGTTTGAAGGTTTATCTAACATGATGTGCAAATCCGCTGCAACCAACTTCTATAGCATATAGTCGACTCTAAGCAGGTGATGTTCAGTGAACTACAAGCAGCCAACTATTCAAGCCAGATCAGCTAAGGTAAAAGCCAAGCTGTCACCAATCAGCAGTGTGTGGGCACCTCCCTCACACTTTCTGTAGGTCATTTCCCTTTTTGACTATAGTATAACCCATCTATGTGGTGAGGTGGAACATCCTGAAGCATTTTGGGTTCTGGCCACTGCATGAAGCCAATTGAGATCTGCATCTCTAGATTTGTTGTAATTTTTTTCTTTTAACACTCTCAAAGTTTAGGACAAGTGGCAAAGTACCTGCCTGGCAAGTGCAAGGTCCTCAATTTCATTCCTTGTACCAAAAAAGCATAAGGAAGATCACGTCATTCCCTGCCTAAAAATCTTCAAGGACTTCCCGTTGAAATGGAAATAAAATCCAAAATCCTCCCCACAGCACCTCATGGCCTGGCCCTGACTGCACGTAGGCTTTCCTGATTCTTCTACACAGTACCTCTAGCTGAGCATTCTTGCCTCTGCCTTTGCAGACTTATCAGCTTGAAACAGTCGTCCTGCAGATACCAAGAACTGTCTTTCTCGTTCTTATCCGTTAGATCCTGGCTAGAGTATCTCACTCTCAAAAAGGCCTTCTCAGACCTACCACCCTAGCTAATGTGGTACCATCCCACCCAAGACTTCTCTATCCCATTTTCTCACAACCAGAGTGGTTTTGTCACTATCAAAAATATCAATGATTTTATTTCTTTGTCGCCTGTCTCTTCCAGCTGAATGAGTGAAAGAACCTGGCTTTCTCATTTACCACTGTACCCTTATCACTCAAAACAATGCCTGCCCACTGAATAAATATTTGTTCAGTGAATGACTCTGCACATCCATTTGCTCATTCATTTATTCATTCAACAAAGACATACTGGTGCTCTTTGTGTAGCTGGCAGGAATGAGTAAAGATTTCTGCCTCCAGGAATCTTATATTCTAGCAAAGACAAGAGACTTCCAGTGCCTAGAACAAAAACTATCACATAACAAGTTCTCAGGAAAACAGGTGTTGAATGATTGAATGGAATGAACATGTAAGTTTGCAATCAGGAGAGATAGAGAATTTTTCTCCAGTGTAAGTCAAAATTTAAAAAGCTGTAGGAAATGATTTTGTTTGGACATGAACCCTCAAGCTAGCTACTATAGGGCAGGCAGCTATAGTACTATTACTAGAAACATAACGTTGGAAGGGACATTTCTCAGAAGGAAGCCGATATTGTTCTGAGTGAGTACATACACCGCCTACGCCCTACTCCTGTCTTATGCTATTACTTCAGCTGTAGTTTTGGCTGCCTTTCCCCAGGAATCTGCCTCAGGAATTTACTCTTTTCCTCTGTTTCTTCAAATATCTTCTTGTCATGAAGGGCTACACCACAAAGCTTTGTTTTTGCTATTATTAGAATATGTTTACAGTACATAATAATTACATTTATCCTGGGGCATTTGTACATATATGAATATGAAAGATACCAAAAGGAACTGCGCTGAAATCCAACAAATGACACAGCTGGGTTGTAGCATTCATCCTAAGAATCAATCCTTATATATTTTTCTGTATTTTAATTGAATTCTTTGAACATGATTCACCTATACTATTCAGTGGAAGAGCCTCTCCTTCCCTTTGTACATCCTCACTTTGCTATCTTTTCTCTCTGTGGAGGTGGCCACCACAGCTGTGCAACCAACCCTCTCGCATCTGTGCTGTCCTTCATCCCTGCCCTTGATGGGATGCCACAGCCAAATAAGAAAACACTTCAAGAGGAAATAGAGTATCTTCCTTAGTATTTCCACTAATCCTGAAAATAGTCCTGCCTCTGGTAGAGTTCCAGGCTCAGAAGTACCTCAAGATCATTTGGAAAAGGATCTAATCTTTGAAATCAAAGTAGTTCCTCATTTACAGAATCAAACTTGTGACAGTGAGTAGCCTTCTCAATGAATGTCACAAAAGCAAATTGATGAATGTTGAGGACATAATTTCTCATACTCATTAGTAGGTGTTTTTGTCCCTCCTTTATACAAAAGGGCACTAAGTTCTGGGAACTTTAAGTGGTATACCAAGGTCTGCCTTCTGGAGCAAGTGAAACCTGCAGCAAAGGATCAACCTGAGATGGATCAAAGGCACCTGACTCTTGAGCTATACCTGGATTTCAGGCTGAACTATTTCCTGGCAGAAACTGCCACTTTGGTGTGAGAACAGTCAAGTGTAGTTAGAACGAGCTCATGGAACAAAGCAGTTTAATTAAAGAAAAAATTAGTTGAGTTTCAGTAATATTCTCTTCAATTCACGATGGAAATTAATTTATAATAACCTTATCTTTTATTCATGTCATGCTGCATATTTCAGAGTATGTTGGCATCCTTATATTTTTCAGCTGAATATGAAATAATTGTGTTTCTAATGGGCTGCAAGTCAGTTAAAGTACTGAAAGAACATAGCTGAGCCTCAGTTAACCATTCAGGGAAGTCTACAACACTGAGGAGTAGCTTTGGTTTCCTTTTGATGAGTCATAATATTTAAAACTCAGAGGGCTGCTGCGGGCTTCAAAGCAGGCTTTCAGACTGATCACTCCACAACCTAGCTCTGTCGGTGCACAACCACAAAGAAAGCTCATTCACTTTCCTCTAACAACCTCTCTCTCCTTTCTCAGACCAACCTGACAGAGCTGAAGTCATTCGGTTCCCCGCCTCCGGCCGTCAGCAATGTCAGCGCCGCAGTGATGGTGCTCATGGCCCCAGGGGGCAAAGTGCCCAAGGACCGGAGCTGGAAGGCTGCCAAGGTCACTATGGCCAAAGTGGACAGTTTCCTTGACTCCCTCATCAACTTCAACAAGGAGAACATTCATGAGAATTGCCTCAAAGCCATCCGGCCATACCTGCAAGATCCTGAGTTCAACCCAGAGTTCGTGGCCAGCAAGTCCTACGCAGCTGCAGGCCTGTGCTCTTGGGTTATAAACATTGTGAGATTCTACGAGGTGTTCTGTGATGTGGAACCCAAGCGCCAGGCAGTAAGCAAAGCTACCTCAGACCTCACAGCCGCCCAGGAGAAGTTGGCAGCCATCAAAGCCAAGATTGCCGTGAGTGAGCCCAGAGACCCCTTGACTCTAATGCAAACACAACCCCTAATATACACAGCACCCTCTGGTCATTATCCACCATTGTTACAATATCTAACCCTAGTAGGAAAGCCAAATTTTTATGGAAAAATATTTGCATAAAATTCCTCATCTTCAGTAGAGACAATTTTTCACATTTGTTTCTCTAACACCATTTAGACTAAACAAGACAAATCCCCTGGGCCAGTCGTATACAGTACTGGTCTGAAAAGTTTTTCTTTTATCCTCTGAGGAAAGCAAAGATGGAAGGAAGATAACCCATGATAGAAGAAACTGATAATCTGTGGAGCGAACTGCTTTCTTATTAAACACAAATGAATTCAACATTTTTATACATTTGATAGTTAAGAACACATGGTTAAGGTTTTTCGATCCCATCCCCTTTGAAATGAAAGTTTTAGTTGGCTCTTCACCCTTTGTACCTAGTAGCTTCAGTTCTGGCAAACGGTCTACCTGTCTGGCCAGCCCATGATAAAGGGAACCACAGCAAGTGCCATCATGATTTTGGTCCCAACTGTTCTGTGTATGTGCACTCAACCATGAGCACATACTCATCACTACCATGATGTAGTTCAATCCAAACAACTATGGATCTTTCATTTTGACAGAAGCAGTCCAGGAAAATAAGATTTTTGCTACAAATTCATCATGATTCTAAAGCACAGTTTTACCAATTGGGAAAAACATGGTGCTATCGACATGCAGCATGCTTCATGTGACATAGGTTTATTGGGTTAAAGTCTCTAGCATAAGCAACTAATCTCCTAGCAGTATGCGTGCTTGCTTTCTGAATCCAGTGTTGTGGGATTATTTACAAAAGCAAGTGATAATCTCCACACCTGGCCCCTTCACAGAATATCAAGTATAAAGCACCATAACATGCTATTCCAGCTTCTTTTTGAGGGGGAGAGGCTCCCTGCTAATGTTCATATTCTTCAGTCTCTCCCAAAAAATGTCGCAAGAACTGAATTTTCAAAGATTCTTTACTCAAGTTATTCTAATTAAAGGAACATTTGGTGCAGAGAGAATGTTTTCAAAATGTTTATACCTTTTTAGTAGCCAACATTCACAGGACGAGCCCACTCAACCTGTGAAAGCAATGAGAATATCTTAAAAATACTTGGCTACCTTAGCAAGGCACTTCTTTTCTGCCAAAATATTTCCTGGATAAAATAAGAAAAGAAAACATTCTTGCTTTGAACCACCTCCTCTTCATTCTTTGCTTATACACATGCCTGTCAACCTCCCCAAAATGGGGACAATCCCTTCTAATATGAGAGAAGGACTGACATCTATCTGTAATGTAGACACCCTGCCAGGCAAGAAATTCTTGCCCACGTGTTGCTGAGGGCAGGCAGCCTTCTTGCCTCACTCACATGCGCGTGTAGGTCTTACTTTTAGGATTTGGGGTACAATTCCAAGTAATGAATATTATAATCAGAATAGAAAAACTGGGAGACCGTATAGCAAAATAGACTGTGCAATATTTTAATATAACACTTTAATATAACAATATTTTATATTTTATAAAACCAAAATTTTAATTTGGTTATATAAAATGAAAATACATTAACCTCATAAGAGTGGTAATGATCTCTGGGTGGTGGATTGGACTTGGGGTGCTTTACATTTGTTTGATCATCTATATTTTTTCTGTGATGACTACATATGAATATCCTAATTTATAAAAATAGCAGTAAGCAGACCAAGCAAAGCATTTTCACTGAAGCTACAACTCTGCACAGGGGAAAAGATCAAATTGTATCAAAGACCTTCTAATGAGTACAGTCCCCTTTTAATTCTTTTCTTGCTCTTAAAAAATTATGGAAGCCACGTAACAGCCTGTTATGTACTGGCTCAACTGTTTTATTTTCTCCATATAGTAAAACATTTGCAGATGAGTTGATTATTTGTAAATATTTAAAACACCAGGAGCATTTATGTAAATGTCTGATTTCTGACCAGTCTAAAATCATTCAGAAGATTCTCAAGCATCATTCACTGATCCTCTTGTTAACTAGCAGCTCAACCTCCAACCAATTTTGCTGCATTCTGCCATGAACCTTATCAACAACTCCTATTTTTAGCAACACTACACTTATCTGACTGGTTTACACTATTCTTTTTCTACTTATTTGAATTTTTGACTTCTGTCCATGCACTGGGCTCATAGCTCTATTTCTTGGTAAATATTACTACAGCAGCTGTCTATCTGCTAGCCAGATGAAGCTATCTGCAGGGTAGAGTTTTGACAGATTGTTTTAGTTGTCCTTACCTTCTTTCTCATTCTACTATAGAGGACTTTCCTGTGAGTGCCCAGCTTTCAATAGAGCTACTTATTACCCTTGCCTTCAGCTTCCGATTCCTCCTTCTACCTCCCAACTTCTGCTATCATGGCTTACCACTTCAGCTTTATAACTGCCTAAACTGAAAACAAGTAGTCTGTGTTCTATAACCAAAAGTAAGTGTCCCATGCTCTGTCCATAGATTGATTCACTAAAATAGAAATTCTGTTTATATTCTGTGAGTATATCAGTATTGTAAGCAGATGTAAGAGGTACCCCATAATTATATTTTTTTTTTCTTTTTTACAACTTTATTTCCCCCATGAAGTGTCTACCTTCTCTTTTCTTATATTAGTTCTTTTTCCAGAACCATGGACTGAACTCGGGTCCTTGCACTTGCCAGGGAAGTGCTTATTCTAATGAGCTATCTCCATGGCCCTCACCTCCTTTGTTTTTAAGTTCTCTGCCCAATCTAGTATTCTGCCAAGTCTTTTGCCTTGCAGATCCTTCTCCTTTGTCCTCACTTCAGAGCTTCAATAAATTTTAGAGAGTAAGCAAGTGTTGCTGTCTTTTTTGAGTCAGTTTCAGTGACTTTTGGACTCAATGCCTCCTTTTTTCTCGGTTTCTTACTTTATCCAGTTGCTTTCTCAAAAAAAATTAAGTGAGGAGTAAATTTTCTGAATAGTTATTCTGATACATGCCCTTATTTTAGTCTTCAACTGATCCAAAAACATCTGCTACGTATTGAATTCTAGGTCGATAACTTTTCTCAAGGAAAACAAAGACAGTTAAAGCAAAAACAGTTTTTATTGCTCTAAATGTGTTACTTTAACAAGAGTAGAACAGCAGCATGTAGCATTCATTGTCCTCAGAGTACAAATATGCAAAGACATAGAAGATACCTTTACATTTGCCCATGTTTGTGCAGTAACCATGGTTAAGGCTGCTTTGCTGGTCATTGCTAAGGTACAAGAGAAATGAACATAAGGTCATGCTTTATGCTCTTATCAGATGAGAAGTCTGACGGGCCATTAGCATTCTCTTCCTTTGTTGATCTACTGGCTCTTTCTCCTGTTCTTGCAGGTTTCTAACACTTCTTTTACTCTTGGTATCTGAAGCTTTACTTTTACGTACTTTGCTGTCTCTTTTTTATTCATCATACATAATACATACAGATGCGGGGTTGGGGAGGTGGCTCAGTGGAATAAATGCTTCCTTGACAAGCACAAGGGCCTGAGTTCAATTCCCAGTTCTGCCAAAAAAATAGATATAGATATAGATATAGATATAGATATAGATATAGATATAGATATAGATATAGATATATAGATGCATTTTCTGCAGATCTGGAAAATTATTTTCTATTACTTCTGTGGCAGTCTCCTCCCTGAATGCTTTTTAAATTTTATCTTCTAGAGTAATTACTGGTTGGATATTGGATCTCTGAAATTGATCACCTTTTCTCTCATTCTTTTCTCACTGTGTGCTTTCTAGATTTCCACAAATTCATCCTTTAAACCTCACCTTGAATTTATTATTTTACATTAATAGTACAGTAATAGTAATTTCCATAAAAATTGTTTTGTTCTCTTCTTTGAATAACATCTTGTTACTTTTAATAGATAAAACATCTTGTATCTCTCTGAGAAACTACTTTAAAAGTTTTTAGTATTGTCTTCATTGCTGGAATTATATTTCTCCCAAGTCATTGCTTTCTTCTTATTTACTTTGATCTAGGTTTCTACCAGCATCTTCTTTCCCCTTTATGTTTATAAAAATAGTGATCAAATTCATCAAGCAATGGCTGTGACTCATCCACATGGCTGACACTGACAAAGGATATAGAAGTGTGGTACAGGGTCTCAGGATAAATCCTGAGGGGACTTGACTGACCTTATCAGATACAAAAATTGTATTTCTTATTATATAGGTCTTACTTTATCTTGGTCTTAACCATCCAGCAGAAAAGTATAAAAACGAGGTATATAAAGTACAGTCATATTTATATGCTGAGCTGTGAAAGGCTCCAGTCAACAACTTCTGTGGATAACCCACTACTATTGTGGACTGCTGGACTGTGTTGGATTGTTTTGCTGAATTCACGCACCTATAGTATTTAATGGCAATAGAATACCCATCACTGACAGGACTAAACAAAAAAATGGGATACAAAGGAAGGACCATTTTGTATCTGCATATGCAGGATAGTTAGGATAGACATACAGCTATTTTCGCTTAATTCAATGAGAAGAAAGATTTGTACTAATAGTGTTTGGGCAGGATAACCTGTCTGCTTCTTGTACTATGGATAACCACTAAGAAGATAACAATGTACAATGTATTAATTATTGAAACTGTCCTATTAATCAGTTTTGAAACTGTCTCATTGCTATTTGTTTCTCAATAAAATTAAATAAAATAAAAAACAAAAAAATAGATATCAAAACCTAAAGATAGCTCTGCAGGTAAGGGCAGAGGTGATTGTCTGACATTGTTTCCAAGATCAGATGAGTTGTACTGGATATACCGTAAGTGCTCAAACATGGTATCTTTTCTCTGCCATATGGACTTCCTTGTCTGATGTCAGGATGCTTTGAGATGCTATGTACTAAGCATATGGATGGAGATATGAGGTAGGAGATCAGTTAGCTCCCAAATAGCTCTTCCATTCTTAGCTTCCACTCATTGTCATTTTTTTTTAATTTTTAGGGAAGGGTAAACAGGGTGTTCAGGGTCTCATTACTAGATCAGACTCATAGTGATCTGCCTGTTTACAGCCTCCCAAGAGCTGGGATTATAGGTGCATGCCACCACGCCCAGTCTCAATTGCCCTCTTAGTGTGCCCCAGGGGAGGGACCAACATGGCAGGCCCAGGGATTGAACTCCCAGCCCCTGCACCTGCTTGCGGGTGCTTTAATCCACTGAGTTATTTGGCCAGCCTTCAGTTTCCACTCATTTTCAAAATCTCCAGTTTACATGGGCCTCTTCAGGCCAGTCAGTATCTTCTCGGGTAAACTGTGGCAGCTTCAGCTTCCTCTGCCCTTCCTCCAGCAGCATAGACTTTTGTCACCTACCGGAATGCCTCACTTGCAAAAGCTCTTAGAAACTTGCTTTTGTTCAGAATCTATCTAGCTTTTGTAATAGCATCATGATCATAATAAAGAATTGGCAGAAAGAGGAGGAAAATGGGTGTGGCCAGTGTGTCACCATTAATTGGATGGCTCAGCACCTGGTTTTTTTAAATGTTTGAGTGTATAAACATGGCCTTGTGTTCATTTCTCTTGTACCTGAGCAATGAGCAGCAAAGCAGCCTTAACTCTGGTTATTGCACAAACATAGGCAAAGTTAAGGGTATCCTCTGTGTCTGTGTATATTTGTACTCTGAGGGCAATGAATGCTACATGTTTCTTTTCCACTCTTTAACAAATTTAAAGAAATAAAAAACTGTCTTTGTTTTAAAATGTTCCTTTGCTTTGTGATAGTAGAAAAATGCACGAGGTGAGGAAAAAGTTTTTATGTGCTTATAGGATGTTACTGGAGGTTTCAGTCTGTACTCAGCTGGCTCCAAGGCAGAGTGGCACATGGCACAGAGCAACTGTTCAAGGTAGCAGCAAAGAGCAGAGAGCAAAAGAAGTACAGGAGCTGGGGCAGCTAGCTAGCCTTTCTCCTCTCCTTACATTGTAATGCAAATTACCTGCTCCAGAGCAGGTGCAGAACTGACACCCACAATAATCAATCACAAACTCCAGAAGCTGCCCCATGACTGGATAAGGCTTTGGAGGGACAACTAGATACAAACCATAACAAATTCCTTTAAGAATTTAAAGGATTCTTAAGTCAGAAGCACTGAAGGTGACGCAGCTGGGGTTACTGACAGACCTTGTATTCCTTCCCAAACAGCACCTTAATGAAAACCTGGCAAAGCTTACAGCCAAATTTGAGAAAGCAACAGCAGATAAACTCAAATGTCAGCAAGAAGCTGAAGTGACCGCAGGCACCATCTCCCTTGCAAACCGCCTGGTGAGTGCGTGCCTCAGCAGCCCGAGCTCTAATTATATTACAGCACTTGTCGAGTAACACAGAGGTGGGAAATAAATGAGCTCAGCTCAGCACTGTGTTGACCTGAGGTGGGTTTGGGGGGGAAGTTATTAAAATGTCCAGGGATGCAGAGACTAATTCTTGAGAAAAAATATGAGTGCACATTCTGATCTGGTCAAAAGAGCTTTCTTACAGAGATGGTTGGGAAGGAAGTAAACGCTGAATCTCTCAGCCCATGCAGGATATAACCATCCTATATGGATATATACTGATCAAAAGGAGCATTAAAATCAAAGCTAGAGTTTTTAGGCAACTCTAAAGATCATGTTAGTGTTGCATTTTAATAATGTCTAGGACCAGGATTAGGAAGTAAGAAAAAAGAAGAGAAACTGATTCACTCTAAGCATTGTTGAACCTGACTTTACGCGCCAGCACTTACGTTATGGATGCCACTGGCTCAAAACTATTTACCCCAAAACTTAAGAGTTTTGAAATAAAAACCATTCCACTACATTTCACAACTTTGTGAGTCAGGAATTTGGGCAGAGTTCAGCTAGCCAAGGCTTCTGCTTCACAATTGAGGCCCCTCCGTGCTATTCAGCCAGGGGCCAAGCTAATCTGCAGAGGCTGGATGACTTCCCTTATATGCTGGGCACCTTGGCAGTAGCTGGCAGGGTGAGCTTAACAGGACAGCTCTCTTTCTCCATACGGTCTCAGGTCCTCTTCCTACAGACTCATCAGCAAAGTAGTCAAACACCTCACACAGTGACCTAAGGCTCCAAAAGCAAATATTCTAAGAAACAGGAAGTGTTAAGTCCCAATCTTTTAAAGCCTGAGACCTAAAATTATCACGATGTCACTTCCACTATACTTCATTGTGTCGAAGTAGTTACAAACTCCAAGGGAGAGAGACAGACATCAGCTCTTGAGAGGAGTGTCAAGAATTTATGGCTTTTTAAAATGCCCCATGGCTTATAATTGTCATCACATCTATCAGCTGAGATCCAAGGGGGTTAGATGTGTAGCTTGATAGTTCCAGACAGTATTTGTCTGGGAGGTGCAAGGCCCTAGGTTCAAGCCCTAGCAGAAAGAAAGTGAGCACACAACTGAAAGAGAGACAGAGAAAGAGAGAGAAAGAGAGAAACAGAGAGACAGACAGACAGACACAGAGAGACAGAGAGAGAAAGATAAAGAAAGAGAGACAGTCTTTGTACCAATGGCTTTACTAATAAAGGGATATATAATTGAGTTATTTTACATTTATCCCAACTGCCTTTATTTATGTAACAAGGTCATTATTTTAATTTTGGTTGAATGAGTCACAGCCATTACTGGATAGAGCCATGCCTTAATGAAGTTACCCCACAAATCTATAGGTGTGGCCTTGTTTGTGGGACTAGCTATTGCTCAATTTCATGATGCTCTATTTGACTAAACCAACAGTTTGGTGCAGAGAAACATCTCCTCAAATGTGCAAGAAGTTGCCTTGATCGACCTGGCTAGCCTAGCATCCAACTCCCTGCTCATTTTCTGAAACTCAGCACAGCCTTCTGCACCTGGCAGGAGCACGTTCTGAGTTCTGTCACAACTTGGTAGAATGGTGCTCTGCTCTTGTAGACACAATACAGACCCCATAGCCACCTCTGTCACAACAAACAGAGACGCTGGGGAGATATGTGGGCCTTTCTGACCTAATCTAAAATGAGGCATGGAGTGACTGAGTTGACAAATCCCTCAGGTCTCTCCCAGCTCTGACATTACACAATCCATTGCTCAAGGAAAAAAAATACATGGCAAGTCCTAATGCAGAAACCCAGCTCCACCATGTACCCTGTAGTGCTCCATAGAAAGGTTGGCACCCTCCCCAGAAGGGTGCCACTGCCTTGTGGGCCAGGCCAGTCTGCATATGCTGCCCAGTTCATAGCTCAGTGTATACACCCAGGTCCCTATAGTACTTCTAACATTGTATCCTAATTACCATTTCTATCTCTCTGTCCACTGTGAATTATTTCATGCCCTTGATTTTGTTTATTTTCATTTCCCCATTTGGAAATGAGCATCTGGAAAGAAGAGAGAGGTATGCAAATTTCTTGCATGTCTCACAGACCAGGCACTGTGGTTAAGTGATTAACACGCTCAATTCTATTTAATCTCCCCAACAGCCCTTTGAGGTAGGTGGTATCCATCTTCACGTGTAGAAAGCCTAAAAGCCTTCATTCAAAATCTGTCATCCTTCCCCCACCCACATAATACATAGAACAGAACAGGAACTCGTTTGCTGAAATGCTGGCTGTCCCATGGGGGCAAATCCCCATGAATAGAAAAGGCCACACAAATGACAAATGATGTCCTGGGGCCTTCTGCTAGAGAGCACGGTGTGCAGACCCAAATCTGCACCCCAAGTTGTGTGTGACACATTCTTTCTTCTCTGGCCTTTGAAATGGTAGGTTGGAGGACTCGCCTCTGAAAATGTGAGGTGGGCAGAAGCCGTGCAGAACTTCAAACAACAGGAAAGGACATTATGTGGAGACATTTTACTGATTACTGCTTTCATTTCATACCTCGGCTTCTTTACAAAAAAATACCGTCAGAGCCTCATGGATCAAACCTGGAGACCTTACCTCAGCCAGCTGGTGGTATGTACTTCCTGAATTTGTCCTGATCACATCACCCCGTGACTACCCGCAACACCACGCAGCCATGAAAACTCAAATCTTGTAGTACCCTTGTGCACATGCACTGTGCTACTTCCTGAGCACTAGCTGTTGGCTATGCACCCACATGCACTCCTCACTGCCCTGAGTTATGGCCTGCTGCCCTGTGGGCCACCAGAGGTCAGAGACTCACCCTTTACTGAGGTCCTGTGTGAGAACCCTGGTGCTCTAGCCAATTCCTATCTCCTCACTTTTCTCAAAACTGAAAACTTGAGAGACACCAAAAGAAGTCCATGTTCCTCTGAGATCAGCCTGCTCCAGAGTCAAGCAACACACGAGCATTTAGAATGTCCCCTTCCCTTGTTCTCCATTGTACTTGGTCACCAGGCCCCAAAGCTGCATAGTTTGTAACCATGGGTCAGAAAACTGCACCAATGACTTACAGACACCCTATTGAAACAGTGTTATCTTCCTGTCTTAGTTACTCTTCTCTTGTTGCTGGGACAAATACCCAAACCAAAGGGGAAAAAAAGGTTTATTCAGCTCACAGTTACTGGAGGTTTCAGTCCATGTTCAGCTGGCTCCAAAGCAGAGAAGCACATAGCAGAGAGCAACTTTTCATGGAGGCAGCAAAGAGCAACAGAGCAAGTGAGGGGTAGCAGCATCTCACACCCCTAGCTTCTCTCCCCGCCCTTACATTGTAATGCAAATTACCTACCCCAGGGCAGGGGCAGCATCCACACCCACAATAATCAATCACAAACTCCAGAAGCTGCCCATGACTGTTTGAGGCTTTGGTGGGACACCTAGACACCAACCATAACACCCCCCGGGGAGCCCTGGTTCCCATCCTCGGGCTGTGCAGCTGTTCCTCATCATTTAATTAGGCAGACTTTACTCCCAACTCTGATGTCTACACCTCACTCTCCAACACAGTGAAGCAGGGAAATGTTAACTTCTGATGAAAGGGTATTCCACTCTGCGCTTGGACCATGCAGTCACAATAATCCCTACAATTCACTTGACATAGTCACATCATTTGCAGTCATCAGTCTTCAAATACTCACTGATGGCCAGCATGATGCTATACCCCCTCCATACGGAAAGTCCAAAGGACATTCAAGTTCAGGAGGTCTGTAGCATGCTCAAGGACCACTGAAGGAGATTAAGTTCCTAAAATTCAGCTACGAGTAGAGCCAGCAAAAAAAGTTTGCAACACATAGCAAGAAATATATTCTGAAATCCACAGGTAGTTGAATCCTTAGAAGGCAAAACTCATGCTGCATAGTGATGATTGGTTTCTCAGATGAGCTCATAAATTCCAGTTCACATGCTAATTTGCTGAATAGTGGTTTAAAAGCTTTCAGTACTAGGAAGAACACAGGTACTAGTTATTTTGTTCATCTTAAACATTTGTGGCAGAATGAAATTTCCAAAAGAATTATTAATAACAGGTCATCGGAAGTTTCACAGTAAGGAATTTTCTGGCTTTACTTGGGATTCTTGAGCATTTTTATTCCATAGACTTCTTTGGCAGTGTCTTTATGTACTTTCAGCTACTCTAGCAGAATACCTGAGACTAGTAATTTATAAAGAACAAAGACTTATTTGTCTCATAGTTGGAAGTCTGGGAACCCCACGAGCATGGCTTTGGCATCTGGTAAGAGTCTTTCTGCTATGTTATTCCATAGAAGAAAGCAAAAGGGCAAGACTGGACTGCAAAAGGAGGCCAAATGTTCCCTGCTGATAAATCAATGCTCATGACAGCTACACCTCTCCCATGAGAGAATGACAGTAATCCACTTAACCTCATATGAGACCTTACCTCTCAACACTGTCATCATGGAGATTAAAATTTTAACCCATAGATTTCAAACATGAATTTTCTGGAGTACATTCAAACCACAATAGGCTTTCTGAGAACACCTTTTAATTCCTCCTCAGAATAATTTTTTTGTATATAAGATAACAAAAAAAAAAATCAAACTATGTTTGATCCCAAAAAAAGAACCACCAAGAGGTTAATTTGCTTAACTGTGTAGTGGGAGTGATTTGCACCTTTAGTAGACAAAACTAAGGCACAGGTGAGACGGTCTGAAGAGGTTTCACTGTGGTAAATGGGCAAAACAAGCTACAGAGAGGAGAGAGACAGATGAATTGAAAGGTCTTCTGTCTGAACTTCAAAAACATGATGCTAAGAGAAAGCAACCTAACACAAAAGGTCTCATGTTGTAGGATTCCATTTGTATTAAATATCTAACTGGGAAAATCCATAGAGACAAAAAAACATACTAGTAATAGCCAGGAGCTTAGCATAGAGTGAAGCAGAGAGTGGTGGGTTTCTTTCTGGGGTGATGAAAATGTTTCAAAAGTAGAGTGAGATGATGGCTGCATAACATTGTGAACACAATAAATACCACTGAATTGCATACCTCAAAATGTAAATTTTGTACCATGTAAATTTTAGTCTCATTTTTTTCTTTTAAAAAGTATATGACTCATTGATGAGAAAAGATTGCTTATGGCAAAATTAAGTGAGCTGAAAGAGGCAAAATGAAAAGACAAGGAGGTTGAAGGGACACAGAAGGGACATGGGACAGAGTTCTCAGGGCTGAGGGATTGTCAGTGGCTTCCCAGCAGGGAGATATGTAGGGGGTTTCATGTACACAGAGCTCTGGGAGTGAAATGTTTGGGTCAGGGAAAGTCAGCCTCTCCATCCATTTTCAGGCTGGTGAAAGCGAGAATGGGAAAGAGCGGTTTGAGCAGAGTGCTGCGTGGGTCCTGGTACTGGCTCACTGGGTTCGCTGGAGAAACAGAGAAATGTAGTAGGAAAATAAATGCTAACATGGTTAAAGGCATGTAGGAGGTGATTTTTTTGAAACTAAAATAATCTACAATAGAAACCTGATTTAGGGGAAGAAAGCAAAGAATAAAGAGTTGAACACATAGGCTGAAGTTCTATTGCTATTCATCCCTCCAGAAAAGAAAAGACTATCAGGACTTGAACAAAACTTGATTCTGGAAGTAATCACACAGCCAGGCACACACTGAGGGAGGTGTGATCTTGCTTTTAGAGGAGAGCATCACGTAGTGTGATGCTGTGTGTTCACCATACCTATTGAGAAAGCCTTCTTCACTAGGTTCCCATCCCAGTCACCCCAACCCTGGACCCCCTGAGGGTACTGACTGATGATGCTGTCGTGGCTGCCTGGAGGAACGAGGGCCTCCCTGCAGACCGTATGTCTGTGGAGAATGCCACCATCCTCACCAACTGTGAGCGCTGGCCGCTCATGGTGGACCCTCAGCTGCAAGGCATCAAGTGGATCAAGAACAGATACGGAGAAGATCTCCAAGTGACCCAGATTGGCCAGAAAGGGTAAGCAGCTTAGCGTCAAGCTCACCACTGGCAAAATTCATTCAGGAAAAGAGAAAAAGGAGGAACAGTCATTGTGCCCTGATGTCTTATTTCTTCTCTACCACTCATTTCTTGATGTCCCTGTGATTTCTCCTGGGTATCTTTCTATTTTATCAGATGTTTTAGGAAACATCTCAATGAAAATGCCTTGTACTAGGTTTTTGTTTTTCTTTCTCATTAGAAATTGGTCACTGCTGATGTGGTCACTACAGTTCGCAAAAAATTATCATATGTTTTATAAAGAACTGACATAGAAGCTTAGAAGTTTGGGTCATAACTGTAATCCCAGCCCTTGAGCAGATGGATCTCAAATTTAAGATCAGCATGGAATATAGAGCAACACCCTGTCTCAGAAAAAAAAAAAAAAAAAAGGAGAAAGAGAAGAGGAAAGAGAGGGGGAGAGGGAAGGAGAACTGGAAGAGAATCATTTGAAGGTTTCTCAAAGAAGTGATTAAGGAGGTGGAAAACAATGAATACTAGATTTGGATCCTTCTTGCAGAGTAAATTTTATTGTGAAGTGAACACCTAGGTGTGACATGATATATTTTTATCTATATCTTCAGTCACAGAACAATCTAATCCTGGCCTTTTGCCCAAAGTTTGATTAAGATGGTCCTTTCTAGTTGGCTAAATACATTTCAGACAGAGCTTGTGTCATATTTGCTCAACGCTGTATTCCTAGTAGCTAAAACACCGCTGACATAGCACATCGTACACCTTCAGTAAATAACTGTGCAACTAATTCAGTGCTTGAATCCATTGATTAGTTGCTATTGGATGGCTTCTAGGTTTGTCATATACTGTTTGAATGTGAATGTTATTCTATATATCAAAATATGTATTTTTTGTTCGAGAGTCCCATTTCCCTTTTAATTTTATGTGTGGGGTTTTTCATGCTATATTTTATTTAGTCAAACTTGTCACCCAGACCTTCCATATACCATGTTGAGAAAACTCTTGTTCTCCAGAAAGCATTTAGATAATAATCTAATTTTTAAGTTTTCTATGGGATTTCTTTTTACTTTGAAAGTCAATCATTTTAAATATATTTTAAGGTCCTAAATGAGGTACCACTAATATTCCAATTGGTTAGCTCTTGTTCCAATATCATGTGTCAAACTTTCCATCCTTTTGTCAATTAAATAGAAATGCCATTTTACTACACTGAATTACTTTATTTTGTGGGCCTTTATTTTTTTCTATGCCTCTAATGTTATACTAGTTTTTAATTATGTGTTTCTATATTTTACAACTTTTGTTGTGGTATTTCTCATTACAAAAAATATTGTGTCATTATTGCTAGAAAGGTAGGAAAAAGGAATTATAAAAAAATGAAGAAATAAAAATGTCTGTATTTTTAACGTTCAGAAACACTGCTAACCTTCCAATATATCTTCTCAGACTTCTTTTATAGACCTGCATTGCTGAAGTTACAAAAAATATTTTAGAATTAGGCACTGTGAGTCCTGCCCTCATGAGGGACCTTGTAGGACCGATTAGTGCCTTTTCATCACTGCCTGTGTTATATTGTCTTAAGACTGACTTTGAGACTTGTAGTCAAGATCTTTATTATTATAATTATTCTTGTTTGAATTACGATTGTATTAAACTTATAAACTGATTTAGAGGAAATCAACCTATAAGCATACTTATTAAGCTGTACTTAATACTGAAAAGTTAAAAGTAATCTAGACCTTTACTAACTGGTTGATAAATATGTTAAGATGTATATATATATATATATATATATATATATATATATATATGATCTAATAATCAAGCACTGACAGTGACTTTGGAAGGCTAGTTGATGGCATAGGAAAATGCTTACATTTTATGTACAGATCTAGGATACAATACAAAGGTGCTGTATGAATTCAATGGTATAAAAACAAGACCTGAAGGTGTAGTACAGTCAGCCTTCCATATCTACAAGTCCTATATAAATGGACTCAACTAACCATACATTAGAGACATTTGGGGGAAAATTGCATTATTACTGGATATGTACTTGTTCTTTTTCTTACTCCTTAAACAATAGATTACAACTATTTACATAGCATTTACATTGTCCTAAATATTATAGGTAAGAGTACTGTGATGATGTACAGAAATCAGATGCAAATATGACATTATTTTATAGGAGGGACTTAAAAATCTGTGAAGTTTGCTGTCTACAAGGTTCTGGAACCAATTCCCCATAGATACCAAAGGAGCAATAAATATTCAAATATACACAGTAAACACCAAATTGTTAATCATGCATTGAAGAATTATTGTTAATTTTTGAATTTGTTTTTGCAGTTAGTAATTTCTCCTTATCTCTAAAAATGTCAAAATCTACATAAATTCTCTTTTAGATAAAGAAGGATGGGGCCATTAAAAAAAATTTCTAATGGCTGTGTCTGCAAGTTTACCCTTGTGTCTTAGAGACCACAGTTGCCTTGGGCCTTGTTAAATTGCCTCTGAGTCAGTACCCGTCCACAGGCTGACACTGCCCACCTCCTTCTGCAGCTACCTTCAAACCCTAGAGCGTGCCCTGGAAGCTGGAGATGTAGTGCTGATCGAAAACCTGGAAGAGTCCATTGATCCTGTTCTGGGACCTCTGCTTGGGAGAGAAGTTATTAAAAAAGGACGGTAAGACTCACACATGCAGCTGCCCTTGGTGAGAGGCAGGTTCACAGCCCTGGTGAATCCTGGAGAGGTTTGTTCTTTCTAGAGTCCGCCCTCCTCAGCTCAGCTTGAGGAGCTCCCTGCAGCTGGCACACTGTCCTCCTTTCCAGCAGAGGTGATATAGCTGCTCTTGGTTTCTAAAGAAGGCTTTCTAGAATAGAGTTCACTTGTATCAGTCAATGACTTGTTGACTTCCCTCTAAAGGGCAACAGTGCACAACTGGGAAGAAGTTTCAGAAGGAAAATAATTGAAAAACAGACTTTGAAAGCATGAACATTTTATCCAAGCCAAATGTCTGAGTTCAGCGAACTTGGATTCTTATCAATTTGATGAACATCTGCAACTCCAGTCACTGGCACATGACCAGGGGTTCACAAACGTAGGGTGGAGGTGATATATGGGGAAATGAGAAGTAGAAGGGCTCTCTGCACACATGACAGTCAGTGATAAATACCAGGAGGGCATGCTTGGCTCAAGAACTGTCTTAGTCCGTTTATTTGGCTGTAACAAAATACATGAG